AAAACATTTTGACTTTTAGCCAAGAAGCTGGCTACTTTTCTTTGGGGTCTTTTTACCTAACTGCCTAGCCAGTTCCTACCTCCTATTCTTATCACACCATCCTCTGAAGAGGTTACCCAAATTTCCAATAGGGAATCAGGACGCAGGCTGCTCTGGCTTCTTCCATGCGGAACACACAGGGTGAGGCAATTGGAGTACTCCCTTCAGTGGCTTCATCTAAAAGACTACCAGATTGCATAACTCTTATTTTGAAGGGGAAAAGAAAGTCCTTGGATTGTGACTAGGAGATGTGAAGGAGAAGCAAAGGCAAGAGTAATTAGCAATACAAGTTCTAGACAGGGAACTAGAAAAAAACTCAGAATGGGGCAATTTCCAAATGTTCATACGAGAGTCCATTGGAATTTCTTGACAAGGGCTTCCAAAAGCATCCCTCTATTGGGTTCCTCCTCATTTTTCTTTTGTCTTTCAAGGCTGGACTCTAGAGCGATAGATTCAGGATTTGCTTTCAGGTATTTTGATAGCTGTTGGAGGGGGTAGAATCAGTGACAATTACCTCGAAAAGGCTTTGAGATAACTGAGGAGTTGCTGAGGTGTATGAATGACCTGAGGGTATGCACACTGGATAGCCTTTTCCCAGCATGGGTCATGCCTTCTCTTCCTGAGTCACGCCTTCTCTTCCTAGCCTTCCCCAGATTGTATATTTTAGCCCTCCCCAAATCCAGGAGGCCATGTGTGATTAGGGCTAAATTACATACAGTTGGCTGAGAAGAGTGGTTGGATAATCCGGTAAGGGTCCAATGACCCTGCTTGGCCCTCCTTTAATGAATGAGCACAACTGCCCCCTTGATTCCTTGATGAGCATGGGAAGGAGGTGTGACTATAGCTTGCTGGCATAGTGGTTGGAGGACATTTCCAGTTGACACTCCACCCCTTCCTCCAGCTCTTACATTCTTTCTGTCAACCTCTTCCCCCAAAGTCCCTGAGCCTTGGAGGGGGTGGTATGTGTGGGATGGTCTTCCTCCCATTGTGGCAAGACACTGAACTTTCTGGTCTCTGCATCTGCATCATCTGTTTTCCATGGGCTGTTAGCCAGTTTCAGTGGGATTCCATCTACTATAAAAACACACATAGAAAGAAGCAAGAACATCTAAACAGTGACTGCTATAATAGCTTAACCTATGGAAGTAAACAAAAATGCTTGGTCAGTAACAAAGCAATTGCAGTGACTTCCCACTGGCAGTTCCAGGGGAATCTGAAGCCCTCTTCTGACCTCTGCAGCATTGCATGACATGGGTGCACTCACGTACATGCAGGCAATACACTCATACACATAAAAATAAACAAAATATTAAAAAAATAGAACAGCAAGAAGCAAGAACATCTAAACAGTGACCACTATAATAACTTAACCTATGGTGTGAACACAAAGCTTGGTCGGTACTTTAGCAGGTGCATCACTTCCATCTAACAAAACAATTGCAGTGACTCCCCACTGGGGCCTGCATTCTCTCCTGCCACAGGGGGTTAGCTAGGTCTATGGTACCAGATGTGTGTTCCATCCTTAGGAGCGGGCATTATATCCAATAAAAAATTTGCTGGTTATACATACACCAGATGCTCCACTATTGCACCAGTGGGAAAATCTTGTTTGGTATGTTGGTAGTGCAACATGTGGGGTCCATCACTGAGAATTATAGGGGACTATTTTCCCCCAGTCATCTGCATGTTGCCTTTTGGCATCATGAAAGCCACCCATCCAGTGGCAGGAAGTTTCCAGCTTGGTCTAAGCTTGATTTCTCCCTCACCTGTGTTCATATCATGCAGTGTCTCCAGCAATAGGGTTTTTCCATCCACTTCCAGTGTACAATGAACATTGTTGGCAATGGCCTTTCTTGTTTTAGGCACCTCTAGTATCCCTCAGGACAACAGCTCATAGGGGGCAACCCACTCTGGCACTGGGATTTTCGTTTAACAATGGTATTACTTCCAGAAGGGCTTTCTTCCATCCTTGTAGGGTTGCTTAAGGCTTTCTTCTTCTTTTTTTTTTTTTTTAATTTTCTGGAGAAAAATTTCCCCCCTTTATTCCCATAACTCTTTGTCTAGTCCTTCTTCCTTCCCTTCCCTTTACTGCCCCCATTTTTTAAAACATATTTCTCCCTTAATAACACCTTTATCCTACTAATCTTTTCTCTCAGGTTCCTTCTTTCTGCTTACCTCCCTGTTTTCCTTCCATATTCCTCGTCCCTGCAGTTGCATCAGGGTATGCACCCACTTATAAAGATTTGGTGCTAGGATTCACAGATGAAGGAGAACATAATGTCTTTTGTTTTTCTGAGTCCGTGTTACTTCGCTTAGAATAACAGTTTCTAGATCCATCCATTTACCTACAAAGTTCATTATTTCATCTTTCTTTACTGATGAATAGAACTCCATTGTGTAAATATACCACATTTTTGTTAACCACTCATCCGTTGAGGGGCACTTAGGTTGCTTCCATCTCTTAGCTATTGTGAAAAGAGCAGCAACAAATATGGATGTCCAAGTGTCTCTATAATAGGATGGGTTCCTAGAGTATATGCCAAGGACTGGTATAACTGGGTCATATGGTAGATTCATTTTTAGTTTTTTAAGAGTTCTCTGCACTTTTCCATAGGGTTGCACGAGTTTGCAATCCCTCCAGCAGTGAATGAGTGTTCCCCTTTCCCCACATCCTCCCCAGCATTTGGTATCATTTGTTCTTTTGATTGTAGCCAGTCTGATTGGGGTAAGGTGATACCTTAAGGTGGTTTTAATTTGCATTTCCCTAACTACTAATTATGTTGAACACTTTTTGAGATGTTTCTTAGCCATCTTTATTTCTTCCTTTGAGAACTCTCTGTTTAGATCTTTAGCCCATCTTTTCACTGGGTTATTTTCTTTCTTGCTTTTTTTGTGTTTTTGAGTTCATATATTCTGCATGTTAAACCTCTGTCAGATGTATCACTGGTGAAGACTTTTTCCCATTCTGTGGGTTTTTGCTTCACTTTCTTGATTGTTTTTACTTTTATTTTTGTGTTTTTGTCTATGTGTGTGCATGCTGTGTGTGTGTGCCATTACCCAGGGTGGCCAGAAGAGGATGCCAGGTCCCCTAGAGGTACAGGCTGTTGTGAGTCACCTGGAGTGGGTGCTGGGAACTGAACGTAGGTCCTCTGAAAGAGCAACAAGTGCTCTTAACTACTGAGCCATCTCTTCAGTTCTAATTTTCTTTTTTAAAGACAGGGACTCACTTTGTAGCCCAGACATGCCAAGAATTTATTAGGTAGCCCAAGCTGGACTGAAATTCCAGGCTGGGTGGAACTTGTGGGTGATCCTCCTGCCTCAGCCTCTTGAGTGCTAGGATTATAGCATGAGGCAATTCTCCTGGCTCTTTACTCTTTTTATATCAAGTGGAATGCTGTGAATAGTACGTGAAGTACATATCAGTAGTCTAGATGTGCTTAGGAGAATTCTTTTCCTGTCCATGTTTTCTGAGTTGAAAGAAGATGAGTGACCATGGTAGAAGACAGTAGGGAACGCACTGGGTGTCAGTTAATGGTAAGAGAGATGGGAAAAAGTAGAAGCAGTATCTTAACAAGTGACAAATTCTATTTCCTTATACGTGATGATTCTAAAATCCAAGAACATCCTTATAAAATGCAAATGTCAAGAATAGCAGTTGACATAACTGGT